CTTGTCGATGAAGTGTGAGGGATATCCCCTGTCGAAGAAAAACAAACAAGACCCCTAACTTCCAAAACCAAGCCCGTAAAATGCCACTTTTAACATTCTTTGTGCTTTGTACACATACTTTGGGTTTCTCTCTATTTAGGCAATATATAGAAATTGCACGAGAGGAAATGTTTGTTGTTTTTTGGGGCTGCTTGGACTTTAATGTGTAATTAAAAAAAACGTTCGAGTGGGGAGCTGCGTCAGAGTGTGTTGGCTGCAAAGGAGCAAGTAAAGGTTAATTCCGCACTGAAAAACATCTCGCCACGGAATTAACCTTAACATTTTCCTTTGCATAAAAAAATGCCACTCAAAGAATGCACTATATTTAGAATGGGCTATTTGTAATGTGTTTCATAAGACCTTCAATTAATGATTAGCTGTTATTTGTGAAACTTCGACCTTATTTTTGTGAAAATAGACCTTAACATACATTTTAGGAACTGGTAATCTGATAGTGTGCAAATGTCTGCTCAGGTTTGAATGTGCAGCTATTTTTAATGAGTGACTTATATTAGGTGGCATGAGGACTTACTGTATATCTGTTGAAAAACTGTTGAAAAAACCATATTATATTTGTTTTTTGATTGATTATTCAGTTTCATTTACTTATTTATATACAATATAGGCACTTTAGGTCTGTAGGAAATCACAAATTCTTAAATAAATTCATGTGCTGTGATTAACTGAAGTACATTGTATAAATCATTGTTCTGTGTAATTTCTAGGTATCTATGAAAGTGTTTTAAGTTCAGACGTTGTTATAATGTTATACAAATCATGTACATGTAGGAAGTTAATAATCTGACTTTAATCAGTGAATAGGCTTAGCTCAATGTAAAATTCTCATGACATTTGCCATACAAAGGGTCCTTCAGGCTGTTACCATGGCATAATAATGACACTAACAGTAAGCTAGGGGATATGGGATTTACCGCAATTCTGTAATTAAGTAAAATGTGTACAGTTTAGTACTGTGCATTGAATAGACCTGGTCTCATGCTTAGACATACAGTATGGTGTTATGCCTGGTTTACCTGCTGCTCTGATAATATAAATCTTTCCCCAAACCCTCCATGGTAATCACTCAAAACTGGAAAATTGTTCTGAGCATATTTCATTGTTTACCATACTGATTTTAGCAACAGTAGTGATTAGCTACATGATGTATTAATGTAATGCTGTCTACAACAATATATTGTCCTATTGCCAATCCATGATCAGTACCATTGTGCTCAAAGAACAGAGAGTTTGCATATACAGTAGACTTTGGTTTTATTGCCGCAAGTTTTAGTGTAACTTAACTACCACTGTTAACTTTAGGAACTAAACCACTTGTCAGTTCCTCATACCTGATATTTTGTCCTGGAATAATACAAATTTGCATGAATATTAAACACTGAATCTTTAACTGCACAAGTCTTAAAAGTTTCAACTGCAACACTGATGCAAAGCTTCACAGTGCAAAGCTATTTGAAATTGTGTTTTATGCTGTATTATGCGTTTTCTATCCGGTTACTTGTAAAATTTTTCCTGCCCACATTAATGTCATGCCAATTAAGTTGATCCTGCCAAAATGTCTTCCAGAACAACTGACTCATTCTGAGAGTGTCGTGGTAAACCAGTCTGGCACTCTGCTATACAGAGCAGAAACCTTTGTAAAACACTGTGCACTAATGATTGCTCAACACTTACTGTATATGCAAAATCAGTGATAGTGGGGTTACCTCAAAATAGCTGTTTCTGAATTACTCTTCACATTGTTTTAAACTGAGAGGTATCACGCGAGAAGAACCGTATTCAAGTGTGTTCTCTCATTAAAACTATTTCCTGCAGTTTTGGAAAAAAAACATGATCATTTCTTTTTTTCATAGCAATCATTGATTTAAAGATGTACAGTATCTGTATCTAAGGAGGAAATTTAACATTGACATCCAAGTTTCAATTTGGTAGACTACTGCTACAGTATCAGTGCAGTGTCAGTGCTTCATTGGCAAATGTAAAATAAGATAATTATGCCTTTTATGATTAACTGCCAGTATGATTAACTACATTATACAGTAGTTATACAGTAGTTTGCTAAGTGTGACTTTCATGCAGCTAATCTAATTGAAATGTTTGGTTGCAGTTATGATTATTTTTGATAAGGATGCTGTTACACGCTTTAACAGCTTTTAATGGGACTTCATACAAGGTATCTTAGAACTTTGCTTTGGATTATTGCTTTGGAAAGTAAATTACCATTTTAACACCCACCTTACCTTCAAGACTACATGACAGATGATTTCCTGGTTTCAATATATTTAGCATTTAAGTGAAATACAGCACTGATAAATCTTAATAAATGTCTCATCAGTACAAGACTGCCTAGAAACAAGATATGTATCTTCATTATGCATCATCATGTGCATGAAGGTCAGCTGTGATTGTCATTTATTATTTACTGTTTTGTAATGTACAGAGTACATTCTGTGGTGTTGTCTGTCGTGCTTTGCATGTCCCAAGAGAATGGAGTGAATAAGACACTAAATGTTCATGTATATATGACAAATAACCTATTCCTCACCTTTTCTGTTCTTCTCCCCTTTGTGTGTTTCCTTCAAATTTTATTGCTACAGGAGTTTTTTTTTTATTCAGTTTTGATTTCAGAAGGGGGTCTCACAGTAATCAATCATTCGTGTATGTGATCGTAAAATCTTCAGTAAGTTTTGTGTGTATGTTATATCACAAACCTTTTCGTCTTCTGGCGTCAAATATCACCAATTGCAAAGTCGAGCTTTGAGGTTCTGCAGTATTAGTCTCCTTCATTACGTGTTTTATGTTGATGCTTACGTACTCAGGCCTATACGTTTTCCTATTCCTCTTTTATGTGGAAAGGTTTGTCTGTGAGAATGTCTTCTGCCTCATCCAGCTTGATCCCGCAAACTCAGTGATTTCATCTCATCACATTTTCAGGCACTGTGAGACCCGTCCCTTGAGAATAGACTGAGGACTCCCCAGGTTGTGTGTAGGCTGTGGTGTGGGCACACACAAGATTAAGATTTATTATAAAAAGCAAAGCGGTAGAGTTTTTTTTTTAGAGAATGTCAAAATTATTCAAGCCAAAAACCATGACTAAATTAAATTTTAAATCGATTATTAAAACCAAAAACCATGACTAAATTTGATCCTACATGAGACCTTACAACTTACCACCTTAAAGCTTCCACCTCTCAAAATAATATACAGTATATACAGTACAATAATCTTGCACAGAATGTTTCTATTATTTGACCATTTCCTGCAAATTATCCTGGCAAAAAGCCTACTTTCCTTCTTCCTTAGGGTTTTAAGTTGTGGGGAATGACAGTCCTTGATTTACTACTGTATGAAATGCATTGGTACTGTCATATTCTCCTATTTTATTACTATTATTCTGTGTTGGCTTTCCTTGTAGCCTCCCTCAGAACCAGAGATGTCCTACACAAAGATCTAATTTCACTACACCTACAGTAAACCTGGGTTTTTGCACATGCTGTAGACAAACCTGTGGTTCACAAAAACCTCATTCCGTATAAAACTTAATACACAAGGAAGTGGTAGAGAGTACAGCAGCAGCCTACATCAAGAACATTCAAAAAGTCAAGCCTCTATATTTAATGTTGTATCTACTGAAAGTAAACCACAGTCAGTGCTGTATATCATCAAATAAACCAACTGATAACATCAGACTGGAGAATTCTGAACCAAAGGAAAAAGCCATCCATTTTCAGCTTTCACTTCCAAAGATAGAGTAGAAATGTAGAAGATCTAATCTACAGTAGGTTACATGTGAGGAAGTGTAATAGTTAAGATTTTTTTATGTTTAATGATTTGTTACTCTTGTAACCTTCAGAACCACCATCATGGGAGCATGAAATAAGAAAGGTTATGATGGGAAGCCATTCAGCCCATCTATGTTATTTGACTGCAAGTAGCTACTGTAATAGGTCCAAGATATCCTCCAGTCAGCTCTGGAAATAGCTTCAACAACATGGTTAAAAGGTGCTGATTTTTGTCTTCTGTACAATGTGAAATAATAAAATGACTAACAGAATGCCACAATGTATAGTTAAAGTACAGAATATAAATTAAAAGATGTTCCATTTAATTTGTACAATGCACCAGAGTAGCCTGATACATTTCTAGGATTGAAGGTACTGTATGTCCCAGAGCAGAAGGTTAAAAGAACTTAAATATTTTATGATTGCAGGGGGACCAAATTTGATTTCCTAAAAAGCAATGAAAAGTCAGCATGTCAATCACGTGAACCAGAGGATACAAGTGGAAACTACAGGGAAATGAGAACATGAAAAAAAATACTCTTTTTTGTTTTAAGAAATGTCTGAATGAGATTTACAGATCAGTTAGCTACCTGCAACCAAATCAAACTAGTACGGGCTAATTGTCTTCGTCTTGTCTTTTCTGCAAGAAACAGTTCAAAGAAGAAAATTAAAAATCTACTGTCATGTGAATTAACATTAAATCATAAAAATATTCACTTTAAAAAGCATATCCATCATTTGTTATTCAACACAATGAGACATCATTGGAAAAGGATAAATACCAATCTAAAGCTCAGTAAACCTAGGAGAGGTTTATTGATTAAAAAAAAAAAGAATAGTTTTGACTTAAATGTTAAACAGTGACCACGATGTGACTTTAGAAATCAAGCAACAGATTAAATATAAATGAAACCCTCCAAAATCTAAATTTCTAACATCATGAGCAGAGTTCTTTGACCAAAAATGGATTCAGATTTTTCTGGTCAGTTGTGGAGCCAGCTTCATTAAGGTAATAATTCTGGGTTATTGGATTTTAGTGTTTGAAGTACAGACAGAAAGTGAGAAACAAAGCTATATATGAGAGCCAGTGAGCTGAAGGACCTCAGTCTTTTTAATTAAGTTATATGATGGTACGCTGATATTTGTCCTCCTTTCTTTCAGTAAGTACTGAAGTGCCCCCTTCTTGTTCGAGGGGGTGTGAGCTATGCTCAGAATACAATGGGTGCCTGAAGTGTTTGCCCCGACTCTTCATTCTCCTGGAGCGAAATGACATCAGGCAAACAGGAGTTTGCTTAGCATCGTGTCCTGTGGGGTATTTTGGAGTTCGAAATCCAGATATGAACAAATGTACCAGTAAGTACCTTCACATTCTTTTCTTTGACTGATGGTTTATGTGTGAGCACACTCCATACCCTTGTTGTGTAAAGAGCTCAGGTCACACTCGAGAGAAAAAAATGGATCTACAGTATTTCACTGCTGGTGTGCATACAGTATGCGAGTGGAGTGGGCTCTTTTTTGTGTGAAGACGGTACCGTCAAAATAGACAGCTCAGGTAATGTCTACAAGATTCCCATTAAGTTTGTAACACTAGTCATTTAATGTGCTTTTTGTTTATGTGATATAGAAATGTAAAAATATTATATCATTATCACTGCAAATTGTTTTCTTAGTTACCTACTGTAACTTCCTAGCTCTCTCCCCAGCAAACCTGTTTTTTAAATGGTGATTTTGAATCACAATAAGGTTTTGGTATATTTGGTATATGCCAGCTTATCACAGGAAGGTTGTTTAAGCAACTAAATTTGTTTTTTTTTATTTAACCAAATAAAAGCTAACCAAGAAATTATTTCCCTTCATTTTTCCCCACTCCTTATTATTCAAAATGCAGAGTCACAGTGAAATATCTTTTTTTTTTTGCCTTAATGTAAAATGTCCTCATCTTTGTGTTTGCACTGTAGTGGTTATTCTGGCTATACTAAGTGGATTTCACTAGGAATCTGTTTCCAATGTCTGTTCCTTTAGAGCAAGACAAATATTGAGATTAAATGAAAACAGTTGTAAAAAAATAATTTATCTGAACTGGACCTCAGTTTTATTATTTTGGGTTGACATGACAAAATGCATACAAGCACTTGTGGTTAGTATGCATCTGTGGTTTTAACTTTAGAATCTAGGCCTGTGTGGAGGAGCCTCATAAGTGAAAAGATAAATAGATGGATCATTGCTCTGAACTCTCTCCTGCTTATTTGCTTTAGATATACTGTACCAACATACAAATTGGAGTATAATGACTCCAATGCAATACAATTCAATGCTTCTAATATACATTTCTTAGAAGTCATGTATACGCTGGTTGAAGACTTAATTTTAAGTCTGTTTTTAGCGTGGTGTTTGTTAGAGTGGTGTGAAGACCATCTTCCAGTCATTACATTATGCTTTAGCATGAAACTCCCCACCTGTGTATTGTAGATACATTTAATATTGATCAGATGCCTTAAAAAATCTCTTAATAAAATAAAACCACTTGAAAGCGATTTCAATTGAAGTATTTAATTAAGTAATTAACCTAAATAGCTGGCAGGTATCCTTGACGTTTTAGATGATCTTGTCTTAGAATCATTCTTGGTCTTTATTTTAAAAAAGTCAGGTACATTTCCTGTCTCATCATGCCATGTCATCACTGATGTTTTTTTTTTACTTTTTTAAATGTATAACTTCCCAGAGTTTTTACAAGTGTAGCACAAGTCTGGAACCAGCAAGGGTCAATGATGCAGGCTTTCTGTAGAAAAGCAGTCTGATCCTGAGTGCCTGGCAGGAGAGGGAGAGCATCAGCAGCAGGAACGATGCAGCTGTCACTGACAGCTCTGGAAAACCATCCTATTTTCATCATCCCTTGGTCACATGTCTAGAAATACAACACATACAGCAATACAACAGTGTCTTCACTATGGGGCTCAGCCTGTACCGCACCTGTGCCCTTGCTTGTTGATACACTGGGGAGCCCAGATATACTGTAGGTGGATTTTCATTGTTCGTACTGTGTTTGAGAGGCTGTGGACTGTCAGTTAATATATCAGTATCACAGCATATCCATTCAACCCTTATTTATGATAACCCAAGCTGTATATTACATGTAATATATTGTTTTATATATTCTAATCCAGTTCCCTTCTGCTCAAGAATACCCAGGCTTGGCTAAAATGACATTTATGAATGTAATCCCAGTACTGTACATGGAGTACAGTGTTGTACTCTGTACTCCATGTATCGTCTCTCCTTGTTCGGGAGAGGAATGTTTCAGGGCATCTTTTTAATGGTGGGATATATTGTATACAGTACTGCTCACAGACACCAAGCCCTTGTTAGGTGGTCTCTTGTGTTGGCCTCTGCACTTGTCCATTGGTTCTGTTAGGGTTTATTTCCTTTTTTTTCTTATTTCCTTTTTGAGTGCTGAGATTTCTGGGGTTTGTAATTCCCAAGTCACACTCATACCTAACCTTTTCTGCTGATATAAATTGTGCCTGCTCTCCAAGGTTCTGCACCTCACTGTGTCCTACTGTAGTTCTGTATGGAGTATATGTAACGGCTCTAGTTGCCTTATTTTTTATACAAAATAGTGATAATAACCCATAAATCTGAGCTATTGTAACATGCTGACAATATTTAACTTCATTACTATATTGCATCTATGCTTTGATCTGAAGTTTTCAAACTCTTAGTTATATGAGTTATGAAAGCTGGGGTAGATTTCGAACACCTTCTCCCACTGTGAGACCCAATACTATCTTTATGTGTGTCTAGAATGAGAAAGACTTTCCATTCCATCTCCATTGTTTTCGCTTTTTCGGAACAGTGACTAGACCAATTCCCAGATCTCAAATAAGGTGCAATACAATATTTGTTTGGGTTCCTAATGTTTTGGCCACTGAGTTTACAGAAAGAGAGATAATAATAGTGTAATCGGTTCCTGACTGACATTGCATTAATATCAATATGTGTTGACGTGCAGAAGTCAGATAGCACAATTACAGAGGGAAATGCTCTGTGGATCAGTAATGAATTTTTGAGAGCACTATACTGTCCCAGCAAAGCAATCCATATATCTAGAGTGTGATTATTTCAGAAAGTGTGCATAATATTACTATTTTGATCATAACAATGTCATAGAAATGTTTTGCAGGTCATACAGACTAGGTATAGTAATCAGGCACCAAATGTTTTGTGTTTGTTTTTGCCAATTGCCTCAGTGATCAAAATAGGTTGCCTTAACTTTTAATTGGTTTTATATTTATATTACGATAATCTATAAGTACAGCCTTAGACCTAGTCAGATACTCTGTTGGGTTTCCTCTTGGTTCTCTGGTTTCAGTTCAAAAACATGCTGGTAAGTTAATTGGCTTCTAGGAAAACTTTCCCCCTTGTGAGTGTTTGTGTTTGTATCTGTACGTGTGTCCTGCATTAGACTGGTGTCTGGTCCAAGGTGCATCCTGCCTTGCGCCCATTGCTTTCGGAGACTGACTCCAGCTCCCCCATGACCCTGTGTATGGCTAGGACAGATTTTACCTCATAATCAAGATTACCTCATAATCTTGAAAACCAATTGAAGAAATAAGATATGAGATTTTCTGTTAGTTATGCTACAGTCTTATGCACTGACTTTCAGAGATGAGAAAGCACTAAATCATGAAACAACATCGGGTAAAATATACATATTAAACTTCATGTCCCGTAGAAATGTTTTTGTTTTGAAAAGGTCAAAAGTTCTCACACCTCCCATTTTAAAGAGCAAACAGAAAGCCAGACTTTGCCCATGACTGTAAATATTGGCTGTGCTGAGTATTGACATTGTGCTGTCTTTTTCTCTTTCTTTCAGAATGTAAAATAGACAACTGTGAGGCATGCTTCAGTAGAAATTTTTGCACAAAATGTAAGGAAGGACTATATTTACATAGAGGGCGATGCTACTCCAGCTGCCCAGATGGGTTCACCACCCCAAATGGAACCATGGAGTGCACCAGTGTGGGTGAGTCTGCTGCAGCTCTCTGCTTCGACTCAAGGACTCACAAAACTACCTTCCCCAAAAACCTGTGCCTCACACATTTTCTGCCTGTGTTTCCCTGGCTACTTCCTCAGGTTTTGTCATACACAGGACATGAATAGGAAGAAAGTCCTTCAATACTTGGAAGTTATGGAGATTGTTTCCCATAGTGATTGCTTGACTGATGAACTGTGATTGAATATCAGCCATAGCACCCTGAATATTGATCTAGTCAGATCATAGAAGTTTAGCAAGGGTCCTTGGATGGAAGATGGGAAAGCTGGAAAGCATGTTGCTGCTGAAAAGGAAGTGGAATTGGTGGATAAGTAGGTGGTGGTGTTGTTTCATCTCCAATGTTAGCTCCAGACTCAACATTTGCCAGCATAGGACACTTTCCAGCTGTTGAAGGGGTAGCTGTGTGACTGAGGCATTGAGTACATTACACACTGTGGGCACTAGTAACCCCACAGTGCTATTCTTAAAATCAGGGGTGTTATACTCCAGTGCTACTGTCAAATCCAAAATCTGCTTATAGAAGGCCTTGCTGAAGTCCTACCTTTACGTGAGTCATAAACTGTTCCACTCACAGACCCTAGCCTTCCTGAAAAACAGATCTTAATCTGAAATTGTCTTTATAGTTAAAGTATGGTGAATTTTAAATGAATAAATAAATCTTGTTTATTTTTTTAGCAACTTTTCTGGATTTAGGACTGCATCTTGCCAAGCAAGTGTTAGAGATGCATTTAAACATTTAAATGAGAAACATTTAATGTTTCAGTACAGTTTTCCGGCTGGTCCCATCTTGGATGGAAGCCCGTGGGAGTTAAAAAGTATTGATTTCTTTTAAAATATTTATGTCAGAAGTAAGCAAATACTGGACTAATAACATTAGTATTTGAAACCATATTTAAGTTTTCAGTCATTTGGCACAGTGGAAAATCTGCATTTGTATCTGACATACTTTGGCACTCCTCTCTCCCCATTTTACTGGATACCTCTGTAGTCTTATCACTTATTCTTTTCACATTTATATTGTTTTGGCACTGTCAACTTCTCCTTTTTAATCATAAAATTGATGTCTCACCAGAGCATTTTAGAAGAAATGTTCTAATTCCTTTTGATTAAAAAAACTTAGCCAGATACAATTATTTTGAATTGTGAAGAAAATCAGATGGGGCATGTACAGTATTTCTAAGTTGTAAATAAAATCAGGAACAAATGGAATGTTTTTTAGGGGGGGGGGGCTGACAGTGTTTTCCTATATTCTCCACAAACGAACCAGCTTTATTTGTTTTAAAACCTTAAGCTTGAACTGGCCCTTGGTAATTTGAAATTATTTCAGACTTGTTCTTCTCTTATTAATCTCTTTTCCATTGGGGAAAAATATTTGCTCTCTAATGTCTGTGAGCAGCTCAATTTAAACATTTAGTTAATTTACCTGTGAAATATTTCTTAACCTCCACTGTAGGAATGTTATAACACATACAGTACCTAGATTTTAAATGCCTCACATATATGGAAGAGAATAATATTATATTATTAAAATGCAAGGAATAAATTATAATATTCTCTGGTTGTCACTGTATTCATATTTATATTGATGCCCATGAATTTGTCCAAAAAGTCACAAAGTGATTTTCTCAAATGGTAAGATTTGAGACGACCCAATCTTATTAGACTTTCTACTCCTTCCATTTGCAGTTTTAAGCTTTTATGAGATACCTTCAAAAGCCTGAAAATGTAAATATACCCTTTTATATGCTCTGTGAATGTGTTTTTGATACTGTTGTTTCATGGTTAGAGAAGTCTAACAGGTCAATTATTAAAGACCTGCCTTTTCTAAATCTATGCTGACTGTTCCCTAGGATCTTATTCAAATTCTGATGATCCTCTAGTCTGATCCTATGCAATTCCATAATATTAAATATAATAGAATGCATCTCGCTCATTCAGGTCATTCTCCCATTGGTGCAACTCACTCCAGCAGACCCTGCAGATCCAGAAGCCTCACCTTCTTGGCTCTTAAATGTCAGTCCTGACCATTCATCATCCTCTGGGAAAAGTAGCCGAGATGTCTTGCCTCCTCCTACTATTCAGCCCACTTCTTTTGACATCGGGCAAATTATGTTTTCTTGTTTGTAAATATAAATGTGAAACGAGATCTATGGCATTGTGCGCTGCATAAGATCGCCAACCAGTCTGTCTGTGTCTCTCCTGTGTCTGACAGCCCAGTGTGAGCTGGGGGAGTGGGGGCCCTGGGGATCCTGTACAAAGAAGGGCCGGAACTGTGGCTTCAGGAAGGGCACTCAGAGCAGAAGCAGGGAGCCACTGCAGCCAGCCAGCGCCGACCCGTCGATGTGCGCTCCGGAAACAGAAAGTCGGAAGTGCACGGTACAGAAGAAGCGTTGCACCAAAGGAGGTGAGTGTCTGCAAGTGCAGGCTTACAGCAGGCAATGAGTTGGCTTCTAAAAACTAAATCAGCAGCCTTATCACCCTGCAACTCACAACGGGCAGCCCACTGAAGCTCAGCAGGTGTGAGCCTGGCCAATAACTGGATGGGAGAAGAGGTATTAGTGCGGCCAGCAGATGGCGCTTACCCTGCGGTATGTGTGGTCCTAATGCCACAGTTTACTGACAGGGACACTTTACTGTAAAAAGGGCGGTCCTTCGCTTGAGACATAAAACCAAGGTCCTGACTCTCTGTGGTCATTAAAAATCCTAGGGTGTTTCTCGAAAAAAGTAGGTGTGTAACCCCCGGTGTACTGGCCAAATTACCCCCTGACCAATCATGACCTCCTAATAATCCCCCTCTATGAACTGGCTTCATCACTCTGTTCCCCTCCCCACTGAGAGCTGGTGTGTGGGGAGTGTACTGGTGCACTATGGCTGCCGTCGCATCATCCAGGTGGGGCTGCGCATTGGTGGTGGTGGAGGGGAGACCCCATCACCTGTAAAGCACTTTGAGTGGAGTGTTCAGGAAAGCCCTATGTAAGTTTAAGGAATTATTATTATTAAACTGTGTTGCATATAAATGGAAGTCATTAGCTTCCTTTAGTTAGATAAAGTAAATACTCTAGTGTGGAATTGTTTGCAACAAGTAAGTACTAAAGATATCTGTGGAATGCAATACTGGCAGATGAAGTTTTCTGCTGAACACTACCCTCTACCAAAAATTAGAGAATGATCCATAAACATGACCCATCTTGTCTAAAGTAGAGAGATAGCTCAATATGTGTTATGTTGCATGCTAGTACTCACAGATTAGTAGCAGATCAGGCCTTTTCCTGTGTGTGTTGTGCTAGGGGAAAGAAAGCTGATCTACTGTAAGTAACCTTGCAAAACATGGGTGTTGGTACATATACCTCTGGGACAACACGGAAGGCAGCATGAGACAAGGTTCAGGAGTTTACAGGCAGTGTGTCGAGGATATAAAAACAGGAAGGGCAGTTCAGAAAGTGGCTATTGAAAGTGGGTACCTTTTTTCAATATTTAATTTAATAATATATTTGCCATCAGCATTTGTAAATATCTAGTAGAATAACGCATCAATTTGCAAGGTTTAAATACCACTAGAGGCAGACAGACCCACTGTTAAGCACACTCTGTAATATTTGGTAAGGCAGCAAATACAGTGATCACATTATGAGAGCAGTGTCCCCCGTATTAACAGACATATCTTTTGTTAAATGAAGCATCCCCATTGGTAAGAAGAGGATTACCTCTCCTTAAAAGAGCTGTAAATACATCATTATAAAAAAAACTTTGGAAGGAACAAAGATTGTTCAGTACCTTCCATAACCCAAAATGGATGATTATTCAAGGGAGGGGGCCACTCATCCCGCAGGTAAATTCATTCAAGACTCCCCCTAGGGTGCAGGTTTGCATTTGAACATCTACAGTATATAAATACAGATGTACAGCAAGAAATGCTTACATTCCCAAATGTAAGAAAAAAAAAACATTTGGTGATGCTGCTGAGACAAATCCTTTTTATATAAAAATATATTTATATTCTATTTGGTGCAACACTAACTGTGTTACATACAGTACAGTGAAAGACTAAAAAACCAGCATAGCAAAGTCGAGCACCGTTAGTGCATTAATGTTACGCTTTGGGTATTGTCAAAGTCTTGTACTTTTAGGACATGTAAGCATTTCATTTTAATTATTTTGATGTGCAGTGTAACAGTTGTGGAGAGGTGCAATGTTACCATATGTGTGCCACACATTCCAGCAGTTGCACGAGGAGATGACTCCTGGCAGGAGAATTTGACAAATGAGTCTTCCATTAATCAGCCTGAGAACAAAGTACTACTTTACGTGCGAATGAATAAGAGGACCTGACAGTCTTCAAGTAACGTTATCCTCATAGTGTCGTGGAGCAGCTGAGTTTTTTTTTTCTGTTTCTCTTTCATTCAGGGCAGCTCATGTAAACATGCATTGAAGTGCACTAGACATGTTAACAAGACCAGAGAAAAAGTGTATAGCAGCAAATTGAACCTCAACCCAAATCCTGGGAGCTCACATGGAAAATATGTTAGGCCTCTGGGAGCAGAAAGAGCAGCTCTACTAGCAAGTAGGCATAAATCAGTCAAATATGTAATGCCCAGTCTTATCATTGGTCATCCAACAGGGTCTCGTCAGATGCAACCCAATTCTATCTCATCCTTATAGCAGGAACACCCTCGTCTGCATGTAATTCTGGGGGGGGTGAACCACACATTTCACATTTTCCACCAGGTTTCAAAAGGATTGAGATCTGGGGATTGGTCTGTTCAGGGAAGGTGATGGAAGTCTGTCTCCACCTCCCCAAGTCAATCGTGCTTTGCCTGAAGCTGAGATCGGTTCTTTTGAATTGGGGTTCCTAATGTTTGGGAAACCTAGTGTGCTGTTTTGTTTCTTTTGTTATAGTAAGAATGTTCTCTTTTTCCACTGTACTGTTTTATAATCAGAGCTGAAGTGTGAGAAACACGGAGAAGAAAGATTATACTCAGCCTGTTTGTGCTGTTTGTGTAGTGGCATAAAGAGTCTTGTGTTATATAGGCTAATTTCTTGACTATTTATTTATATTGTGGTATTCAATCTCCAATTCACAGACTTAAGAAATGTGTAAAACAATACTGTGCATAAGTATAGTTGTAATATATAGGTTAATAGTAAATGCTATCTGTATTGACCATTTTTCTGCTTCTAATTTAACTTATGTTAAGGGATCTACAAGAATTTCAGCTGTAGTTAAAAACATGCACTTTTAAAGAGCAGACATACTGTATAAATGATGAGCTTTTTAGATTTTACCACATTAACAATGGAACATTTTGGTTCATTCAAAAATATACTAGCATGAGTTCTCCCTTTGTTCTTTAATTGTTTTTTTTTTGGTTGTTTTCTGACTTGGGTTAATTTTTTATGTGTTCTGTTTGCTTAGCTGATCATTATAGACTAGAAGTATGTTTTTATAATCCCAATAAGATTTTATTTGTCTACTAAATAAAAAAAACAAACTCCCTAGTTACAACATTTTACGAGGCTGTATTTTTGCTTTTTGATTTACTAGCGGACTGCTTTTAAGCCAAGGAAACAAGCAATATCCTGACTCTTCATTGAATCATGCAAATGTTTTTCATGTAGTCTAAGCCCTTGCCACACACCAAAAAATAAAATGTATGAAGTATGTATTTAGTTTAATCTATAACAATGAGAACATTTCTGAAATATTAAGAAGTAGACAATGTGTTACACATCTAGAGAGCACTACTGTATGTCTCCTTTTTAAACAGTTTTGCAATACTACTGTTGATGTTAATAATTCTAAAAATAATGGTAACATACAGTATGCTGACTGTACAGTATATAACAGGAATCAGCAGGTCATCTTAAGGAGCATAGCCACTAACTGGGCTGGTATAAGAAGTGATGTGCCACAAGAGTTCAACTGAGGCCATGTTTTTTGTCTGATCTGTATCAACAATTTAGATTCTGATATAGTTAGTGAATTGGTTAAATTTGTGAGTGATACACAAACAGGGGGAGTGAGTTTATGAAAAGAATCAATGTCATGCAGTGGGCAGACATGTAGCAAATGAAATTCAAATTAATCAGCGCAAGGTGATCCACCCTGGTAGTAGGAACAAATACACATACATTTCGCATGCATGTTCCAGAGCTGCAGCAAGCTTCTGTACACCGGAAACGTCTGGCTGTCTATGTACAGTAGTAAGTCTTCAATGACATCATCAAGACAATATGAATAAAAATACAATTAAAGAAAAATAGCCTTCTAAGACAAATTAAATTGATTTCTATAATTTTTTAATACAATATTCACTAGTTTGTCACCAACACATGTCAATGGTGGTTTGATTGGCCATTATGAGAACATTAAAACTACAGCTTTTGTGTATTCTGTGCTCCTGTGTTCCTAGTTGGTCTTTGTTACCAGGAGATTCTTCGGTCAAGCCCTGTTTCTCTAATCAACCGACTGCACAGCACCTTAACAAGTTTCTTAAATTCCTTGAGCTCCATTAATCAGATAAGACAAAAACTTAGGTCCTGAATCTACGTGTTAGTTCCTGATGCATGATTCATCCCCTTGTCTCTGTGGGTTCTGCTACATAACTAGTCTACTTCTTCTTTTTTATATTATTATTATCCCCTTGTGGCAGACACAGCCATAACTCTAAGAGGATGTATAACATTTTTATGTAATTTATTATAGGCTCGATAAAATATACTAGTGAGACCCTGTGTTGAAGCCTTAATAACATTTATTCTCTCTTAAGGGAATTTTTTGTCATGCTTTATTTCTGCCCTCCTAATATGATGCATCCAGATTTTGTCAAGAATTTATATACCTGTCTCCAGTGTAGAGATGTGTGTTTTTATGCGACACTCCAGCAATAGGTCATCCTCCTGTCAGGATCCAACTTATGTGCCACATTTCTAAGGGCAGCTAGTGGGGCTGGTAATCTTATAAAAAAGATAAAGTATATATTATATATATTATAAAAATAAATTAGGAGTGAGATCTAAACCTGTTTCAGCAGTTATTTGCTAATGCAAAATTTCACCAAAAAAATCTGATTCTTTCAATTGAAGAGCCCTAAAAAGTAACATTCTAAAAATAATGCTTGAAGAATGTTTTATTTCCCTGTTGAATAACCTCAATGTGAGAAGGCCTTGCTTGTAATTATTCAGAAAGGAGTGGGCTCGTGGCTTGACAGGCTATGACAGCACTGTTTGAGAAATGAGAAGTAAATTTACATAGCTTGACGCCTGCTTTCTGGAAAGAATTCTACTTAGGATTCAGAGGAATAATTAACAGTGAAATATTATAAACTGCCCCATAAAAATGTTATGAAGCTTGCCAGATTTCTAAACTTAGCAGCTTGAGGGGAATTTGAAACAGCACATGTCTGA